GGGGGGCGGATCCGCGCGGTGTTTCAAATCGACTGGATGGGCGAGGAGCGGCTGTGCTCGTCGTCTGGTCAGCCTTGGGAGCTGTTGGGTGAGTGCAAGCCGAGGCGTGGTAGGGTTCTGTTCAGAAGGGACGGGAGCAGGTGGGATGGGGGACCTCTAGTTAGGACGGGCATGGCATGTGGGGCTTCTGGGCTTAGCCGGGTGGACATCGGGATGTCTGGTCAGCCCACCGCCGCGCACTAGGTCAGGGCGAGCTCGTGAAAGAGTCCCTAGTCCAATCTTGGGCCAAGTGCTGAGGCTCAGCGACGGCCGGCGGGTCCTGACTGCCTCCCTCCCAGCCTGAGGCAGATAACGGAAAGTAGGCTGGGATGAAAAGACAGTTGATTCAGACACTTACAGCAAGGGACTTGCCGGCCGGCCTTGTCCAGACTCTGCCCTCTCCCAGGCCTCGCTGACTTCACTTCTAGGAAGAATTCCTCCTTCCTGCACCCACGGTTGACAAGCACCCCCACCCCATGGGCCCCAGGGCGGGAATCTCTTCCCTGGTACCCAGTGTCTCACTGGATCCTGGGAGTGGGATGGGGGAAATCCCTGCTGAACTCCCATTGATCTCCTCCCCAGGGTCTGTGGGAACAGAACAGACTCTTGGCCAGTCAGATGGCTTCTCGGTGGCCAGCTGTGGGGGTTTCCCTGCGTCGGAGGTCTCTCCAGAACCAGGAGCGGTTGGAGGAGAGTGAGGCCCTGCAGCCTGTAGCCGGCCACCCGGACACCTCCAGCGGGGCCCTGGGCTCCCTGTGCAGACAGTTCCAGAGGCGGCTGCCCCTGAGAGCAGTCAGCCTCAACCTCGGGGTGGGCCCCTCCTGGAAACGCCTGGAAACCCCAGAGCCAGGGCAGCAGGGCCTCCAGGCTGCAGCTCGCTCAGCTAAGAGCACCTTGGGTGCCATGTCCCAGGTAATGCTGACCATGTCCAGGTATGGATGGAAGGCTTCCTTGATGCTGAATAATGACTGCCCCCCAAAACACCCCAAGAATATAGACTCTGTGAAGAGAGGGTCCTTGATTTATTACTGTGTCCCCAGCTCTCCAAACAATTCCTGGTACACACTAGTGCGTGCGTGCTAAGTTGCTTCAATCGTGTCTGACTCTTTGTTACACTATGGACTGTAGCCCGCCAGACTCCTCTGTCCATGGGATTCTCTAGGCAAGAATACCGGAGTGGGTTGCCATGCCCTCCTCCAGGGGACCTTCCCAGTCCAGGGATCTAGCCCATGTCTCTTATCTCTTCTGCATTGGCAGGTGGTTTCTTTACCACTAGCGCCATCTGGGAAGCCCATGGCACACAGTAGGTGCTCAACAAATAGCTGAATGAGTGAATGAAAATAGTGTTGTGGAGGAAACAGAACATCACAAGACAAGATGATAGCACTATACTGATAGGAAATTGCATGTAAAGGGCTAATTGCAGGGGAACACCAAAAACAAGCTTAATCAGTGAAGGCTTTCCGGAGGAGGTGACTCCATGGAATTTGCCCAGGAAAAGGGAGGTATGAGGAGTGTACAAGACAGGTGAAATAGTCCAGACCCAGGGTTGAAGGAGAGCAAAATGCTGAAGAGAACTGGCAGGAACTTAGTCTGGGTATGGCTGGAGGATAGAGAGCAAGGCAGGGTGTGAGAAGGTAGGACATGTGCCAAACATGTTTAGAATTATTTCACTGTCTCCTGGGGGTAGGTCTGGTCTCCCCCAGGCCTCCCCTTTGAGTCTGGGTCAATCTGTCCAGAAAGAGGGTTTGGATTTAGACCAATGCGGGTTCCATGAGCCAGCGTGGTTCTGCTGCTGCCCATGCACTTATCCCTGGGGGCTTGAGCTGGGTCCCTGCCATGGACCTGTGGCCTCATGGATTCATTCGCATCCCTCACCCTGAGCCTAAAGGCTGCCTGGATCTGTAGGACCAGCTGGTGGGCCGAGGGGTTGAGGGATGCCCTGAGGAACCGGGTAGCTCACTCCTGGCTTGTCCACACTGACTTTTCCATGTACCGGTCACAGAAGATCCAGGAGTCCTGCCAAAGTGGCACCAAGTGGCTGGTGGAAACCCAGGTGAAAGCCAGGAGGAGGAAGAGAGGGGCCCAGAAGGGCAGTAGCCCCCCAGCTCGCAGCCTGAGCCAGAGGAGCACCCGGTTATCTGTGGCCACCCCTGCCCTCTCAACCCTGGACCCCTGGGAGAAAGAGTACCACCTCCTCTCTGCTCAGACGGGCCCTCATGCCCACCCTTGGCGACGGTCCAGGAGGGAGGCTGCCTTCCGGAGCCCCTACTCCTCGGCAGAGCGCCTCTGCTCCCCTAGGTAAGTGGGTAGTGCCTGCCCCTCAAATACTAACTGGTCCCTGGGGGCTGCTGAGCCCCTCCAGGACACCCTGAGCTGAGCCACATCCATGCTCTGGCTCAGCTCTGCGGCCCACTATGGGGGACCTGGGGAGGTCCTTCTGGGCCTGAGTTTCCCCACCTGCCAAAGGAAGAAGTGAGCTTAACTCTGAAAGTATCAAGTCACCCAAGCTCCACCAAAAGTTTTTGAAGCCACCTGGCGGGGGCAGGGGGTGGAAGCTCACCTATCTGCAGGATCATCTACCCTTGACAATAGCCTCCAGCTGTTCTCTGCCATCTGCTCCAAGCCTCTCTGATGACACTTCCTGGAATGGGGGTCTGGGGTGATCAGTTCCCAGTCCACACTGGTCATCTCTGGGGCCTGTACACCAGGTCCCAGTCCTGGGTTAGAATAGGTTCCTGCCACAGGTTTGCGGCTAGTGACTGATATGCGTGGCTTTTCCTTCTGTCCAGCGAGTCTGACAGTGACCTGGAGCCCATGGGGGCAGGAATCCGGCATCTCCAGAAGGTGTCCCAAGAGCTAGATGAGGCCATCGTAGCGGAGGACAGGTGAGCCAGCTTACCATGCTTCAGAGGACATGGCCAGGAAGGTCCCCTGCAAGCCAGACCACTTTTTCAGGCAGGTCTCTTGCTCAGACTCTGCCCTGATGTGTGAGTCTAACCATCTCTCTCCCTCTCTGAACCTCTGCCACATGTCTTGGTCTCCTCCTTGATCAAATACTTAGGTTGGGGTGGTAGTTAAGGACACACTTGGATGGATGTGGCCCCCTGGACCTTGGGCCCCAACATGTGTCCATCACATGTGACCAGGTACCTGGTTCCTGAAAGATCCACCCTTCCACCACTCACTCTCCATGGTTCCTCTCCACCATGCCCACCCTGGATCTGGGGAAACAATGCAGCTGCTGTGAAATGCCTGGTCTGTCTGCTTAGGACCCTGTTCTGGGGCAGCACTTGGGCCTGGAGCTGCCCTAACTGGGGTCATACATACATGGCTATGATAGGCTCTGAGGCGAGTCCCCGCTGGCGCTGACTACATGCCAAGTGGGCCGTGTACCCGCCACACTGCCAGGTCTGGTCTTGTCTAGCCTGGGTGGGGAGGGTCCCTCAGAGCCTGCAGCACCCAGGACAGACAGTAGCACCTGTCCCCACTGCTTTCCCATCTCTAGTGGCGACATGACTGTTTCTCTCATCCGAGACTGAGGACAGCGCCCTTCAGGTAATGCCCTCCTTCCAAACCTCTTTCTCAGTGTCTTTCTTCTCCTTCCCCCTCCTCCTCCTTCTTCTCTTCCTCCATGAGCTCATAGGCATATCTGGAGGCATGTTAAGGAGCTGAGTCTTTGCTGGAAAAAGATGCAGAGTTGATGGGCCCTGCAGAGCCAAAAGCATGCAAATCCTCTGATCTGCTGGGAGCCAGGGCTGTGGCTGAGCCCATCACTGATGGAGCACACAAGGGGGGCACCCCCAACAGCCACAACCACCTTCCAGAACCTCATTTGGGGGGGCAGTCTCTGGTGTTCCCACTTCCCCTGGGGTGTGAAGGAGCGCTGTCTTGCAGGAAGCAAGTCATAGCTGACCACCATGCCCTCACACCCAGGATCCACACCTCCCAGGAGTTCCTGGAGGACCCAGGAGCTGGTGGTGCCCCTGAGCTGCCGCAAACAAGGACGTGACTCACAAGGCCCCAGGTGGGGGCTGCGTGGGGGCCTCTGCTCTCCTGCTTCAGCCACCTCCCGGCCCGCCAGGGACCACCGGTCACAGCCTGCAAGCAACTCAGGGAGATCTCGGAGGGGTGGGGGGAACCATTCATTCTACTTCCCTTTGGGGCTTAGGAACTCAACCCACATATGAGCTTTACAGTTGCATCGTCTGTAACATGAAGTGCAGATGGCAGGTAATATTTGAGAGCTTGAGCTATATATCCAGGAGTGGGGTCTACAAAGAGTCAGACCATATTATCACCAGTGCAGGGGCTCTTGAGAACCCAGATGTAGCCCTCCTTCCCACCCAAGAATCCCAGGAGGAGGGATGGGAGAGGTTTCCAGGCCCCAAGATCCTGGGTCCACAGGGACCTATTCTCATTCTCAGCACAGGGCACTGTGAGCATAGAGGGCACACACTATTCAATAGTGATTTCTGCCCTTTGTAAATTATTTAAGAAATCTGTCATTTTATTAGAAAGAAATCAGTGCATGACTTTCCTGGATAACACTGCTTTTTCATAATAAAGACTCTTTCTGTAGTTGGCATCTGTTTGTTATCACCCACCCCGACTCTGAGCCAGCCTGCCCCCAGATCAGGGGGAACACAAGCAATGGGAACGGTCTCTCAGCTTGGTTCAGAGCAAAGCATGTTTTAAAGGCAAATAAGGTTTTTATTTAAGTGACAACAATTGAGAGTTAAAAACCAGCTCACATCAAAATCAAGACCAGTTGTAAAAATCTTTTTAACTTCATAGTGCTGTTTTTGTCTTGTTAGAAATCTCGTATTTTACATTTTCTTTTCTAACGGATTTTTGTACAAGGCAGCCATGAGAAATAGAGTAAACCTTTTTCACCACAGAACCATCCACCACAAATAATACTGCGAGTTACACACTTAGGAACAGTCAGACAGACAAGATCAGACGGGCTGCCATCGCCGAGTAAACACACCTAAGGACAGTGGGGTCCAAGGGTAGGAGTCCCCACCAGCCCGCCGCCCTATTGTCCCACCCCTCCTTGATGTCACCTGCCTCTCCTTGTGTGATGAGGGTGGGGGACAAACTCTTGATTTTTTTTTTTTTTTTTTCCAATCACCCTGTTGGTTTCTCAGCCAGGAGTCAAGGACCCAGGCCATGCCTTGCTGCTTGGACTGAACCCTACTTAGGATTTTTAAGAAAGTTGCCCCATGCCCGGGGTCAGGGGAAGGAGAGGGGACATTTCTTTTGGTTGAGCCAAAAAAGAATAGGTTTCCAGAGCACTTGGCACCCCAACCCCCCGGGGATTCTGCAGGAAGGTTGGTCATTTAAGGCGGGGTCAAGTTGAGGCTCCGCAGGCAAGGCACCCCTCCCGGGCGGAGCTGCACCTGGGCTGGGTGGGTGAGTGTCCCCGCAAAACCGGCACCACCTCAGGACCCATTTCCACATGCCTCGGGGTCCGGCTTCCATTGAAACATTGGTGCCATGTTTTGTCTGCAGGGTACTTCCAGGGCGTGGGTCTGGGCTCCAGAGTGGTAAAAGTATAGTTTAAAAACCATGAGATCCAGCCTCCCCTCTTTCCTAGAGCCCACCCCCAGTAATGTCTGGAATACTGGGGTTCAAAACTTTATTTTCTGTGGCCCAGCACCCAGACTGGAGGGCCATTTATCCAAATGCATGAAAGAGTCCAACTTTTTTTTTTTTCAATGTATCTGTTGCGGAGCCTAAGAGAGGAGTTGAGATCTTTAGAAAAATGCCATGAGGCTGGAAGAGCAGGCCCTAGCTACAGATGCACCCTGAACCCCCAACAGGGCGAAGGTAGGGAAAGGCAGCAGGCAGGCCATCTATCGGGATAGCCCCCCAGGACTAGGAAGAACAAACATGCCACACAAGAAACAAGGAGCTTTGGTCAGGCGGGAAGATCTGTTTTCCAGCCCCTGGGAGCAGGCACACCAGGAGCTGGAAGGATTCTCTAGAAAACAGCCAGATTGGGGGTCACAGAACTACTCAGGGAGAGGCAGCGGCAACCCCTCCAGAGAACACAAGTTGGTTCTTTGTTTTTCTCCAACACAACTGGATGGACAAAAATCAAACAAACCACTAGCAGAGAAAGTGCATATTGGTTACAGAGTTGCCATGAAAGCAGTACTGAAACGAATCTGATCACTGTACAGAACCCCACGTACACACACTCACACACACCAACTGCAGCTCCCAAAGCACTGTGTTCAGAATACCTCATTGTACACCTTCCACATCAAGGTGCAAGTCGTCAGAGCCCCAAACTGGAGCTCTGGAAGGGAAGGGGTGTGGGCCCTCCTGCTGGGGCTCACTTCCCAGCTCTGACCCCCACAACCACAGAACCCCGCTCCCCCAGATTCCAAATTCTTCAGGGTCCCAGCCTCTCTTGCTCCCAGGCTGGGGTTCTCAGGAAAAAAAGGGGTAGAGGTACTCTTACTGGAGAAGAAGTATCTCATGCTAATTATTTCATCACTTGAGAGTAATACATCAGTGGCTTCTGCAAAAAGGAGATGGATTTCAGAGAAGCAGACTATGTCTGCCCGAGTTTAATTCGGGGTCTATTTTGGAAAGGAGGGGAGAGATTGGCTTTGGGGTGACTATGCCATAGGAGCTGGTGCCCAATGGAGAGCCAAGAAGGATGAAATGTTAAAGGAGGGATGGGCCCGTCATGAGCCACCAGAAGGCAGAACCAGAGAAGAAGCTGGGGGTGATCACCCTTCCCCAACAGACTTGCCAGCAGCTCTGGGTTTGGGTGCAGATGCAGCGCTGGAAGTGGAGCTGGAGAAGACAGTTCTCGTAGGGCAGGAGTGAGGGCTGGGAGCCCAGACCCCTCCAGCCCCAGAGGGGCGTCGAGTGTGCCAGGTGATTCACAACAGCAGGGCCAGTTGCCCCCGCCAGCAGCCGCCACCGGGGAGGACCCTGGCCACATGAGAGCTGCGAGAGGTAGACAGCAGAAGCAACAGTGAGCGACACAGGTGCCTGCTGGGCATACAGACGTCTGGGCCCTGGGGCAGCCCAGCCCCTGACACAGAGCCTGGCTGAAAGAGCTGGACCAGCCTCAGCAACAGCCCGGAGGGACTCAGAGGCGGCCCGGGAAGCACCCCACACGGGCAGGCGTGGGTCTGGGCCAGGGAGCAGGAGAAGTGCAGGAGACCAATGCCCTGGCCAGGGGCTCAGCAGCAGGAAGGCCTGGGCAGAATTTGAGGGAACCCCAGGAGAGCCAAGCCCTGCCAACCTCAAGGGACAACCCAAGAGGAGGTTATGGGCATTAAACCAAGCTGAGTGGCTGGGGGAAGGGCAGAGAACACAACAGTTTGAGCCAAAATTACATGAACCCCCGGAGCTCTGGGACCTCAGCTGTCTACCTTCCAGGAGCCAAAGGGAGAAATCACTCTGAGCCGAGCTGGGGAGGAGGAGCCAGGCCAGGGCCTGCTGGGAGATGTCTCTGTTCCTGGGACACCAGGTTTGGGTATCAGTGCAAAGCAAACCTCTCCACGGAGCAGGGACTCCCCTTCCCAGCAACCCCCGCAGAGAGGCTTCCTTGGAAGTGGTGGGGCAATGGGCCCCCAGAGCCCCTCTCTCAGTTTGCGGGGAGGGTATAGATCACTAGGCATTCTGAAGGGCTCTTAGGCCTGAAATGCTGCAGAGGGCAGAAGTGCAGGGCAGCCTAGGAGTCAAAAACGCCCCACAATCTCAGCTGGGGAGACCCCTCCAATTACAGAAGGAAGGCATGGCCCAGCGAGGGCAAGCAACAGGCTCAAAGGTTCCCGGCCAGCCCAGCTAGGCCAGAGCACAGGGCCACAGCCTCACGGCGGACGGCACCAGGCAGGACTCCGGGAAGAGGCAGGAGTGTCCTCCAGGGCTCCGGGAGAAAGGCGAGGATACGGAGGACAAGAAAAGGGGCACAATAGACAGCTGCAGGAGGACAGACCGTCAGCACCAGACCCCACCCCCAACCGTCTGTGGACAGACAACTCAAACACAGGATGAACCTACCCGACATCCTCTCACTCCCAGAAAGTGGCCACTTGGCCACAGGAGAGCCAGGCCCAGGATGGTGACCTGGGATGTCGCCAGGGGGCAGGCACAAATGCCACTTGCCCCCCCTCCCCTCACCCCAGCAGGCAACCAAGAAGCTGCACTTGCCAGTGGCTTTTGGTCCCTGATCTGGGGGCGCCTCCCTTGAGGGCCTGCCAACCATCACTGCCGAAGCCTCCGGAACTCAGAGAGATGGTCGACTTTGTCAAACACTCGGGCTCCGGGCAAGCCTGCCCCCGGGGGGTTACACAGACATCCACCCGGACTGGGGCTTGCGTTGCAGGCCTAAGGGAGCAGCAGCGACTGCATTGAGACCCCTGGATCTCACCCCTTTGCCGCCCAGGGAGCCTCCCCGCCAAGGCCGGGCAGGGTCCCTCCCGCCTCGCTGGTTGGACACTTTGCTGGACAGACACGGGAGGGAAAAAGCAGGAAACAGCCTGTGTCTGCCGGGGACAAGGCAGCCCCTCCCGTCCCCGCAGGCAGCCCTGGTGGGCCCCCCACCCCCTGCTCTGCTGCACCGCCCCGCCCTCAGGGCACCGACTCGAACTTGGGGGGCCCGCGCGCCCAGCTGAGCGCGGACAGGGGCCGCTCGTGGTCCTTGTCGGACTCGGGCTGGCTCTGGGCCCGCTCGGGCTTGGGGTTGGCGGGCGGGTCGGGCTGCTGCACCGACATGGTCCGGCGCAGGTGGTTGCGCTTCCGCAGGAACTCGGGCTGCGCGTGGAGGCCGAAGCTGCCCTTGCGTAGGATCATGCGCGAGCTGTTCTTTTTGGGGCGCGAGCGGTGGCCGGACTCCAGCGCCGCCAAGTGTGCCGCGTAGCCCTCGCTCAGGAACTGCGGAGGGGACAGGGGTCAGGTCAGCGGGGGCGGGCGGGCCCTGGTCCTGTCTCCTGCCCCCGCCCCCACCAGCCCCAACAACGCCCCTTCCCTGGAGCACCCAGCTTCTCCCGGACCCAGGTTGCTCAATACTCTTCGAGGCTCCCTGCCTGGCTTGGCACAACTGAGTGCTTCGGTCTGACCCATGGGTCACACCTGGGATCCCCTGGATTCCTGAAGCTCTGTCATCCTTGTCACTTTCACTAAGGTCCCCCAAAGGTAAGTCTCTCTTCTCCTCCAGCTTCTACCCCAGGAAACTTCATCGATGTTTTCCTGGCCCCCACAGTGGCCCTCCTGTCCAGTTCCTTCTGCTGGGCCTGCAGAACCTTGCTACTCAAAGTGTGGGCCGTGGACCAGCAACATCTGCAGGACCTGGACCCTTGACAAGCAGTCAGGCCCCACCCTAGGCCTAGGAATCTGAATGTACGTTTTAACAAGCTCCCCCGGTCATTCGCGTGTAGGTTAGAGTTGAGAAGCCCTGCTCTGACGGTCCCCACTCGGAGTTCCCACTGTCTCTGCCCTTGTACCTGATGCTTACTGTCAAGCACCTCCACTCAACATGGTGCAAAGAGATCATTATCACCTTCCCATTAATCACCTGCTTCTCAATCCCAGTAATGGTACTACCTGTCTGGTTGCCCAGGGCTTCCCAGGTGCAGCCCGTGGTAAAGAACCTGCCTGCCAGTGCAGGATATGTAAGAGACGTGGGTTCGATCCCTGGGTTGGGAAGATTCCCCTGGAGGAGGGCATGGAAACCCACTCCAGTATTCTTGCCTGGAGAATTCCATGGACAGAGGAGCCTGGCTGGCTACAGTCCCTGGGGTCACAAAGAGCTGGACACAATTGAATCAACTTAGCACACATGCACCTAGTCTCCCAGGTCAGAACCAAGTGCCATCCTTGACGTTTCTCCCATCCTGAGAATCTGATCCCTTCGTTACCAAATCCAATCCATCCTGCTTTAGGAGGGCCTCTCAAACCCTTGTCCTTCTCTGCCCTGCCGCCACCCTACTGCTGCTTGCCTCCCCCTCCCCTTCCTCTGATGCCCCCTCCAACCCCAGCCTGAGGGATCTCTCTAAATCAGGAGCCAGACACACAGGCCCTCCACGATGCACCGCTCCAAGCCCTGCTCCCTCCCGTATCACCCTTAGCCAAGCTGAGTCACTTGCAGTTAGTTCCCAGAATATACACTTGTTCTGCCACCTCCTGACCCTTCATTTTGCTGCTGCCTCTGTCATAAAGGCTCCTTCAACCTCAGGCCCTTCACGGACAACTCCTTCCAACTTTCAAAAATCAACCTTGTCCCTGAGTCGGGTTTAGCTGCTCCTCTTTAGGGCCCACAATTCTCTGTGCCCCCCTGTCATTCATTATGGCTACTGCCACACTGCACTATCATTATTGGCTAGTTTTTCCATCTCCCCATCTAAACTGGGTGACGTGACATCCAAGTCCACCTACACCCCACACAGGTACCCAGCTGTGTTTGTTGAATGAATGAATGAGCAAATGAAAGAACGAACAGGTGACTGAATGAACAAACAATGAAATAAACCACCTTCTCCCCCTCTCTGCTTTTACTGGCCCCACACCCCCACTTCCACCCACCTGGCACTGGGTTTGGTACTTCTTGGTGGGCCGGCCCACGATGAAGATCTGGGAGGGTGGCAGGCCCAGCACACTGTAGACAGAGATGTCCTTCGTGGAGCCATAGGCTGCGCTGATTTTGATGAAACACTGAAACACAGGGTAGCTGATGCAGGTGGGGGCAGTGCATCTGCCACAAAGGATTCCTAGATGTCCCCCCAGGGAGCACTGGTGGGGGAACCCTTTTTCTGCACACAGTCAGACTCCAGGTCACGGGTCCACCTTGCATCAGGGGCCACTCCCTGCAGTGGCCTCCCCTTCCTAAACCCCACCGTTCTCATCCATCAGTGGAGATGGAGGAGATACACACCTCGCTGGGCAGTAAAAGGACTGATGAGATGCACGTGAATGTGCTTTGCCAACTGGGCTTGGACAATCAGAGGATGTGGGGTAAAGGAGGGGCTCCCCCCAGGTTGAGGGAGGAGGAGGGGGTGAGGAGGAGGGTGGCCGAGGACTCACCCCTCCCCGGCCGAAGCCCCTCCCCCGCTGGACACTCACCTCCTGCATCAGGTTGCGCAAGAAGATGGCCTTCTGCCGCAGCGGGTCGTGCACTAGCCCGTCCGAGAAGAAGATCATGCCCTGTGGGAAGTTGTGCTGGGACAGCCACGACACCACCCGCTGCTTCTGCATGTCCGGCCGCCCCGTGATGTAGAGGATCATGTAGCCCAGGTCCTGCCAGTGCCTGGTGAGAGGATATTGCAGGTTCCAGCCCCCGCCCCATGCAAGCCACCCACTGCCCAGCAGCCCACACCCGCTGCTTCCCCCCATGCTCCCAAAAAGCTGGAGGAGCTGTTCCAGGGCATGGTAGGGGAAAACAAGGGGGACCCCGAAATCCACACCCTGAGTTGAGCCCCGTGAGTCCTAACCATCTCCCCCAGATGGCCACAGGCGCCAACCGCATGCCCACAGCCCAGCTGGTCCCCCCACCCCTACCTTCTCTACTTGGGTCCCCTTCTCCCTGATGCCACTGTCATCACTCAAGTTTCTGGAGCCAGAAGCCAAGCCACTTGGGTTTCTCCCTTTCCCTCAGTCTCCTTGCCAATCAGCGAGCCTTTGATTCTACCAAGCAGCATCTTCACTCCACCCTCTCACTTTAACTCCACTTCTGAGCCTCAGCTCAGGACTATTGAACTGGTCCCCAAGAACTCCCAGGACTGGGATCAGTCCACTTCTGGCACGCAGATGACCCAGAGTCCTGGAGGACAGTTTCTTGTGCCCATGCCTTATTTTCTTCCACGGGACTGTGAATTTCCTCCAACTAGGAGCTCTTTCTGCATCAGTGCCAGAGCCTGGCCCAGAACCGGCCTCGGAAGATCAGAGGGAGGCAGATAGGGAGGGAGGAACTCAAGTGGTACCCCTTCTGTTTTTCTCGTGGCAAAATCCTTTCACACGTCTTTCTGCAGTACAACAGCCATGGGAGATTGTTTCCAGCCACACTCCCCACCCTGTCCTAACCTGGCTTACAACACCCAGTGGCCCTGAACTTTATCCCTACACACTCTGTTCTTCCCTGTCCTTCTCACTTCCCTGGCCTATCAAACTCAGTCCTGTATTTTCTTCCTTTCGCCTTTCTATTTGTGCTCATCTTTGTACAGTGGCACGGACTGAAATATATATGCACCTGTCCTTCAAGGGCTGACTCAAATGCCACCTCTCCCAGGAAGCCTGCTCTGCTTTCTCCAGTCAGCTATAAAAAGTCCAGTCTCTTGATTGGCACTGTGTGTTAGCTAGTCTTGAAAGATGGGCCCCCCAGTGAGCCATGTGTCCCAGTAGTCACACCTTTATGTGTTCCCTTCCTCTTTGAAACTGGGCTGATCCTGGGATTAGCTTAGAACTAATAGAACAAGTGTAGTAGAAAAGACACTGAATCCCAAGGCTGGGTACTAAGAAGGCTTGTAGCTTCCAGCTGGGTATCTGGGAACCATAGTAGGCCAGTTACCAGCAGGGAAGCCCATCACCAGGTACCAAGTCTGGCTAGTCTGAGACCACCCAGGCTGGCCACCTGGAGCAGCCACGTGGAGAGAGAAAAAGACAGACCCCAGCCAAGGCACAAGATACATGAGTTCATCACCCATCTTGAACATCTTGAACATCCAGCCCTTAGATGACCCCCAGCCTAGACCACAAGCTGACTGCCATTTCTGGAGAGGCCCCCTCTGAGAACCTCCCAGCAGAACCTAATCAATCCATGGAACGATGTCACAGAATAATAAACTACTATCATAACTCACTAAAAATGGAGCCATTTGCTCCATGGCGATTGGTAATCAGAACATAACAATTTTATCCTGATTGGGATCTGAATGCAAGAGACCCGTCCTGATTCACTGCGCAGAATGCTCTGACAGTGTTAGGATAAATGGAGAGAGGGAGGCAGGGAGGAACAGAAGGCTGGAAGGTGGTGGAGTTTCTCAAGAACCCTCAGTAAATTACTCCTGCAGGTGAAGTTAGGACTCCTGGCTCCCAGCCCAGAGACTAGTGGAATTCCTAGAGGAAACTAGAAAAAACACAGCCCACCTCCCGCACAGCCACTGGTTCCTTCCCCAGAGGATGTGTCCTCTTCAGGAAGGAAGCGCTCACCGGACAACGTCCACTGCCCCCGGCCGGACCTTGGGATCACTTCCCATGATGGACACGCTGGCCGCA